GGCACTACCGCTACGTCCCGCTGGAGCTGAACGTCGCCGAAGGCCTCTCTGCAGGATGTCCCCTGGGAACAGCGCCCGAGACGGTGGCAGCCCACTGCGACCGACACCCCGATCCGACGGACAGCCGACCTCACAGTCTACGCGACCTGGACCACACGGGTACGGGATACGATGGTGGCTAGCTGCCCTGGCATTGGAGGCAATCCACCCCGTCGGATCGATTCGCCAGAAGCCGCACACGGCAGGAGACGTTCCCCTGCAGAGGCGGGGGCCGCAGGCGTGGGACAACTGCGAGAAGGAGACGTACCTGGGCATCCGCGAGGGCGGCTCCACAAGGCGATTCACCCGCCTCGTGCCGGACGTGATCACGGTACAGTGGGCCCCGAAGGTGCGGGATATTCTCAGCTGCCGCGTCGACAAGGGTTGGGAGCTCCGGTGCAAGAGCGCCATGGGCCACGCCCTGGCCGACTACAGGGACATGAAGTGCTACCGAGACCGACTCCACCCAACAAGGGGGTCGATCGTCTTGTCAGGGCGACTGGGGAATTGGCCTGAGCTGAGGAGCCAGCTCCCCTTGGCCTTGCGAAGCTTAAAGAGTTGTCAGAGGTTGGTCGTCCCTGTGGAGGGAGGCCCGTGGCCGGAGGAGGCCGTCTTCGCCATCGCCGATTACGTTCTGGAGGGGGGGCTCCTGGACGAAGCCATCGGGACCCTCATGCAGTACGACGTCTACGGGCAGGAGCGGGACGGCCTGGAGGCCGAGACTTCCCGAGCTGGGGGGGGCCCGCACCAGGTACAGCAAGCAGCAGAGGCAGCTGGTCGACAGCAACAAGACGAACTTGAAGATGAAGAAGGTGAAAGAGGTCGCCACGGAGCTCGTGACGTGACAACTGGATTGTGGAGAGAGTAAAGCGACAGGCCAAGCGGGGGCGCCCGAGTGGGTGGCTAGGGGCGCCATACGAGGGCTCCCTAGAGGTGTGTGGCCTACGGGCGTGACCACCACCCCGATGTGTTCTTGGCCGATCGCATGATGAGAACGTTGTGGTCCCCGCCCGCCCACCCTGGACTACAACCTGAAGTATTTCGGCTACGCCAGGCACATCAGATGCGGGAGCGGGAATGAGAATATTCTGAAGCCGATCGCAACTCGAGTTGTTTGATGATTGTTGTGATTTGGTCGAGGTTATACACATCTGAATCGGCCTCCCGATGAGTTACATTATATCTTTGGCCCGTCGGAGCCCTCGTGCAGCGTGTGGTTGAAAAACGTACTTCCTATAGGCCGCTTCGCGGCGTTGCTGCACGTCCCGCGGACTGAGACCGAGTTGTCATAGTCAGCTTTGCTGGCCCCCCGCCTGCCCCCTGAGACGTTGCGATAATGATCGCTTTCCAAACTTAATTGATCGCGTCTCGGGGTGGTGTGGTAGGGGTGGGCCGTGTAAGATAGCAGTGCAGGTATTATTCCTCCTCCTGCCCTGCCTGTCTTTCGTGTCCGCTCAAGCTTTCCCCCCCTGTGAACGTTTTGCCCAGCCCTGCTCTCACGACACGTGGGAATGAGAATATTATGATGCCGATCGCAACTCGATTGTTTGATGATTGTTGTGATTTGGTTGAGGTTATACACATCTCAATCGGCCTCCCGATGAATTACATTATATTTTTGGCCCGTCGGGGCCCTCGTGCAGCGTGTGGTTGAAACCGTACTTCCTATAGGCCGCTTCGCGGCGTTGCTGCACGTCCCGCTGACTGAGACCGAGTTGTCATAGTCAGCTTTGCTGGCCCCCCGCCTGCCCCCTGAGACGTTGCGATAAAGCATGTTTCCGCTCGCCTGGCCTAGGCGCCCAGTGTCGGCAGCCCGCTGAACGTGGCGGACTGTGGCATCGTGGCGCTGGGCCCGCCCCTCGCACATCACGGACGTGGGGGCGCGGAGCTGCCTGGGAGCGCTGCAGTGGCGTCTGCGGCAGGCCCAGCACCTTCGCGCTCGTTTTGCGCATCTGATGGATAGGCAAGTCGGTATCGGAGTCGTGACGAAGGGGAGGTCCTCCTCGCATGTGCTGGATGTGGTGGTGAAGCGGAATATGCGTGCTAGTGCTGGCCAGTTTGCGCAGGCCTATAAATGGATACCCAGAGACGGATCGCAACCCAGCGGATGCTCCGTCGCGCAGGCCCAATGACGAAGAGGATCATGGTTAGCCGACGCTCGCGGAGGTTCGTGGCCCTGGCCAGCCAGCAAGACCGCAGAGATGCTCGACGACAGGTCGGGCTCCTTTCCCACGCGCTGCTTCAGCCAGTGACTCTTCAAAGGTACCGCATTGCAGTTGCGATTTTTTTCAGTGGCTCGCCCTCAGAGGCGAGCGAGTGAACACCAACGCCGACGACCTCGACTTTCAAGTCGCAGAGTGGATCGAATATCTGTGGTCGGATGGTCACGGTGCCAACGAAGCTGCAGATGCGCTCTCAGGGCTGCCGTTCCTGCCCCGTCGCCGTCGCATTCTGCCAGCCTCCTGGAACTTGTTCGGGGCTTGGCGGCGGATCGAACTGCCACATCGCGAGCCACCGTTGCCGCTCAATCTTATTCTGGCGATGGCCTGTGTTGGGAGGTACTGGCGCCGCAACGATATTACATTGCTGCTGATTCTCGGGTTCAGCGGCTTCTTGAGAACACAGAGATGGTCACCCTGTGCCACTGGCGGATCCAGGTCTCGCTGGATCGCTCGAGTGTGGTGATCCTTTTGCCAATCACAAAGAGCGGGCTGCGGCGGCACGTCGAAGAGTCAGTCGCCATCACAGATCAAGGCGTGGCTCGTTTTCGTGAACACTTTGCTGGGCCACCTGCAGCCAGAAGATCAGGTGCTGCAGGGACCCGTGCCTAACTTCAGGCTGGTCTTCGACAGCCTCTTGGACGGCTTGGGCGTTCGCCACCTTGGCTTTCGCCCGTGCCCCCTCAGGCGAGGGGGCGCCACGTATCCTTATCGTCTGTCGCAGAATGTGCCAGCGACCCTCCAGATCGGACGCTGGCGAGACATTCAGACTGCGAAAATCTATATCGCAGAGGGCGTGCAAGTCCTGCTGCAATGCGTGTTTGACGCCTCCCAGCAGCAGCGTTTTGCCATACTGGCCCAGACACTTTGGGCAGATGTTAATTAAGCAGGGCGACTGCCTATCAATAACACGTTATTGAATACAACAGACAAAAATCATGGCGGTCGCCCTGCACACAAAGGGCAGAAACCATTCCGTCTGTGCGTGAGCGCAGGGACGGGAGGGGCCAGAGTGGGGTGTATGGAACAGCGCGACCCCGCCCAGGGGGGGGTCGTCTTTGGCTGCCCATTGCCCCTCGCCCTTGGACCTTTCTCGGCGTGGAGCCTTGGTCCGCGAGGGGGGGGGGGGGGGCGCGTGGCGGCCAGGGCGGGCTCTCCTGGGCGTGGCCATGCTCCCTCGAGGGCGGCGTGGCGTGGCCCTCGTGGTCATGAGGCCCGAGTGGGTCTCCGCGGGGCGGCGCCCCCGTGTCGGCAGGCCCTCGGCCATGTGCAGCTTCGGTCCGGGCGCCCCCCTGGGGGTCCTTTGTGCTCTCGGGCTCTCGGTGAGGCGCTGCTGTGGGTGAGCTACGGTGGGCCCTCGGTGGGCTCGGGGGGGCCTGGGGCTCTCGGCCGGGGGCTGGGCTGTGCTGCCGTCCGATGGGCCCCTCCTGTGCTGGCGCCGCCCGCGGTGGTGCCTTGGGGAGGCACCTCGCAAAACCCTGGTGTGGGAAAAAGAAGGGAGTTGAGTTGAGGGTTGAGGGTACATAGTATTTCGGTCCCCGTGTGTTATGTAACCCCCCCTCTTGAGGCTCCCAAATGTTCCCGCATCTTGGTCAGTAGCTGTTCTGGTCCTCCCTCCCGTCCTTGGAACAGCGTGACCCCGCCCAGAGGGGGGTCGTCTTTGGCTGACCGTTGCCCCATCGCCCTTGGACCTTTCTCGGCGTGGAGCCTTGGTCCGAGGGGGGGGCACGTGGCGGCCAGGACGGACTCTCCTGGGCGTGACCATGCCCCCTCGAGGGAGGCGTGGCATGGCCCTCGTGGCCATGGGGCCCGAGTGGGTCTCCGCGGGGCGGCGCCCCCGTGTCGGCAGGCCCTCGGCCATGTGCAGTTTCGGTCTGGGCGCCCCCCTGGGGGTCCTTGGTGTTTTCGGGTTCTCGGTGAGGCGCTGCTGTGGATGAGCTACGATGGGCCCTCGGTGGGCTCGGGGGGGCCTGGGGCTCTCGGCGGGGGGCTGGGCTGCGCTGCCGTCCGATGGGCCCGCCCCTGTGCTGGCGCCGCCCGCGGTGGTGCCTTGGATAGGCACCTCGCAAAACCCTGGTGTGGGAAAAAGAATGGAGTTGAGTTGAGGGTTGAGGGCACACACACACATATTTATATATATCTATATATATATGTATAAATGATCAAATTTGGGTCACTCTGCAGTCCCTTGGAGCCAGGGGGGGGCACATTTTGTTAAGTAGACTCCTGGGGGCAATGATGCATCCACCAACAACAATCCCACTAGTGGGATAGCGGCTATGCACTGTACGTAGACATGGTGGCTCATGCAGTGGTGAGCCCAAGCTATGGCTTAGCAAAACATATCATCATGGTAGCGTGAGGCTGCTGTGACGATCCACGGCTCGAGCGCGCGAGCCATTGCTGGACTCGGCTGCGGGTAGCTCCGCGCTGAGTCGCCGCGGTTGGACTGCGGGTAGCTCCGCGTCCGACGGCGGCAGTCACCGGCGCTGCGGGAGGCAGCGCAGGGCAGTGCACGGTTGCGCATGCCCTCGAAGCGCGGTACGCGCTCGAAGAAGTCGTTCAACAAGCGTGAGCGGCGTGGCCAGTTGTTACGAGTTGGACTCGTCAATTTGGCGGTAGGCCATGGAGCAGTTGGCTCAACAAATCGCCGCGCTCCAGCAGCAGCAGGCGCAGACGGCGGCAACACACCGGCAGGAGATGCAGCAGCTCGCGACGCAGCTCGCCGACGCCCGCCGCGAGACGCAGGCCGCGGTCCTCCAGATCACGGAGGCGAGGCGCCAGGAGGAGCAGGCCAACAACGACAGGAGGGCGACCCTGGAGTTGGCCCTCCGCGTCGCGAACCGCGGCGGGAACGAGATCATCGACGCGAAGGGAGTAGGACAGCCAGGAAAGTTTTCCGGGAAGGAGGAGAGCGAGTTCCAGGAGTGGGCGCACAAGGTCGCGTGCTTCATGTCGGCGAAGTTCGGCCCGGACTTCACTGCTGCCCTAAAGTGGGCGGCGCCCCAGCGGAAGAAGATCACGAGCGACGGGGGCGGGGACAGCGTGAACTTCATGGACGCCTTCGGCGAGGACATCGTGGACTTGGAGGCGAAGGCGGCCAACCTGCACACGTACCTCGTGTCGTTCACGACGCACAGCGCCAACAAGGTCGTCAGGGACGCCGGGCAGCACCAAGGGCTAGAAGCCTGGCGCCGCCTCCACGCCGAGTACGACCCCACGTCGGCGATGCGCCGGGTCGTGATTCTCGGCAAGGTGCAGAACCCAGACAAAATGGAGAGCATCGAAAGCTCGGGCAGGCTCTCGAGGACTGGCTGATGAGGAAGCGCCAGTACGAAGAGTTCACGGACCGAGACGGGCAGCCGTGCAAGGTCAGCGAGGATTCCCTGATTGCCGCCATGTACAGGTTGGCGCTGGCGGACCTGGAGACGCAGTTGATGTTCAACGCGGCGGAGGACGAGACCTTCGCGGACATCTTCAACAGGCTGAGCAGCTACGCCTCGCCCAAGCACTCCCTGAAGTTGGGCGCCAAGCAGAAGAACACGAGGCGAGGCCCCGACGACATGGACGTCGGCGCGCTGGCCCCGCAGCATCGGCCGGGCGTCCAGTGCTGGAAGTGCGGCAAGATGGGTCATTACGTAAAGAGCCTCGGCAAGAAGGGAGGCAAAGGCGACGGTAAATCCGGAGGTAAGCCGGACGGCAAGTCCGGAGGAGCCAGAGGAGGAGGAGGAGGAGGAGGAGGAATCCCCAGGAGCCAGCAGCCCAGGTACGGATCAGGATGCTGGACGTGCGGCGGCAACCACAAGCAGGTGGGCTGCAGGTGCCAGTCAGGAGGAGGAGGTCGAGGAGCCCCAGGAGGAGGAGCACCAGGGCAGCCTAAGGGCAAGGCGGCCGGCGGCAAGGGCGGCCCCAAGGGCAGGGGCGGCAAGACCATGAGCTCGCTCGACGACTGGCCGGCTGACGCCCCGATGCCCTGGTGGAACCAGTCCTCCGCCACCGAGCCGGAGGCGGAGCAGAACGGCCTCGACATCAGCGGGATCGACGATATAAGAAGAGATCAATGTCATCATCGTCACCTTCCCCCTCCAGACCTCCATATCGGATCCGGACTGGGAGCGACGAGTGGCTGCGCATCAACTACGATACGGGCGCGGCCACTACTGCGTTTCCCTTGGAGTTCGGCGACGGGCTGAACTTGCAGCAGAAGGGCGAGTTCCGGGTGGCTTCCGGCGACGTGATTCCGGACTTCGGCCGCGTCCGAGTGCCAGGCATTGACGAGCATGGCAACCAGAGGGGCATCTCGGGTGCCGTCACTGCGGTGCACAAGCCGCTCGGGTCGGCCGCGGAGGTGTCCAAGGGCCACGACTCCTTCATCTGGCACAACGGCGGCGCGCTGGTGCCTAAGCACCACCCGGTGGCAGTGGGCACGCGGCGTGCCTTCAACGAGCTGACCCGGTATTACGGCAGGGAGGAGAAGCAGAACGGGAAGCCGGTCAGCGTGGCCGGCATCGAATCGACATCGTCATCATCGCCTCGGAGGCCGTCGGCTAGCTCTTCGGATTTTCCGGGGCAGGCTTCTCGGCCGTAAGTCCGGTGGTGGATCAGGTCAAACACGACGGCATCATCTTGGCGCCGCTCGAGAACCCGATCGCGGGCACCACCTACGAGGACGACTGGAAGCAGGACGGCATCATGAAGGAGACCACCCGGTTGTACGACGGCCGAGTGGAGTTCGAGAGGACCGACGGCGAGTGGAGGTCCTTCGAGGTGAAGCGGGGCGGCTACGCGCAGAGCCCGCTGGGCATGGACCCGGACCCCAATCGGTGGACGGGTCGGCGCAAGACTGTGGCCACGGCGGTTTGGGAGAGATCCGCTGGCCCACAGATGTCCGCGACTGCAGCGCAGCAGCTGGCAGACGACTGGCAGGCGGCTCAGGATCCGAACATCATCGAGGAATCGGAGGAGTTCAAGAGAGCGCGGGCCGCGCGAGGCCCGACCCGGGCTCAAAAGGAGGAGCACGGGGAGCAGAATCACGCGGTGTACCGGTCGCGGTGCCCCGTCTGCCGGGCTGCCAGGGCGACCGGCACGCAGCGCCGCGTTGAGGTAGAGAGGGGCGCGGACGAGGAGAAGGAAGGCCCACGCATTTACAGCGACTACTTCTTCATGAGCACGGACGAGACCTCGGCCCCGCACTTGATCATCAAGAGCTCGAGGTCAGGGCGACTTTATGCTACTTCGATTCCGGCGAAAGGCGTGGCCGAGTACAGCGTGAGGTTCTTCGGCAACACGGTGCACGGGAATGGCCTCAAGAAGTACATTAACCACAGCGACAACGAGCCGGCGTTGGTTGCGCTCAAGGAGGCGGCAGCGAAATCATGCCCATCAGCGGAGGCCATTCCGAGGTCGGCGCCTGTGGGAGACCACCAGGCCAACGGCAGCATCGAGGTGGGCGTGCGCGAGGTCAAGCGCCAAATGCGTGCAACACGCCTGGCGTTGGAGCAGAAGCTGGGGCACAAGCTGAACGAGAGCGACCCTATGCTGAGCTGGATCGCGGGCTTCGCGGCCGACACCATCGCGAAGCACCGCAGGGGCAGCGACGGCAAGACCCCGTACGAGCGGGAGACGGGGCGGAAGTGGAAGAAGCCGAGCATCCAGTTCGGCGAGAAGATTGCCTTCAAGGTGGCACGAGAACGAGTTGGACGACCTAAACGTGATTGGGAGCCGGTGACGGTGGACGCGCGCTACATCGGCCACCATGCGCGGACTGGAGCAGTATTGGGTCTCAGCTCTGACGGCGTGGTGCAGGGCATTGCATTTGCACGCCTGCCGGCTGCTGAGAGGTGGAGCTGCGCTGGCTGGGATCAACTGCGAAGAGTACCATGGGATGTACAGGCGCCACGGGACGCAGCACCCGAAGGCGGCGCGGAGCCGGCAGCGGCCGTGCCGGTACCGGTCGCTCCGCCGGCGGTGCCCGATGTGGTGGCACCGAGAGCGTTCTACGTACGCAAGAAGGACGTGCTTAAGTATGGGCTCACGGCTGGATGCCCAGGGTGCCACGCAGTGGCACGAGGCGCTGGCGCGCAGACGCACGACGCGGCGTGCCGGAAGCGCATCATGGAGCAGGTGGAGAAGGACGACGAGAGGAGGATCTCGGCGTTCCGAGAACGCGTGGAAGCTCAGCGACAGGAGGCTGGAGGTCAAGCGGGCCCTGGATTAGGACAGGCACAGGCCGATCCAGGCCAAAATCTGGCTGCGGGTAGCTCCGCGCCTCCGGCAGCACAGGCCGATCCAGGCCAAAATCTCCGGGGGCCTCCGGCTGCGGGTAGCGCCGCGCCTCCGGCGGCCCAGCAGGGTGCTTCGGACTCGCCGAGGGTCAAGAGGAGTGGAAGCGATGCCGGATCGCCACCGAAGGTGGCGAAGTGGACGGGCACGGGAGGCGGCCGATATAAGCGGAAGGCCGACGACCCAGGCGACGAGGGGCGCTTGGAGGAGAGGCCAGGGACGGGCGGTTCGCCGGGGAGCGGAGGCCCCGGCCAGGATGCTCCGGCTAGCGAGCTTATATAGTGCTCCCTCCGGAGGTGAGCCCGTCAGGTATGACCGACGTGGAGCAGGCGGTCCAGTCCACGACGCAGGACGTGGAGGTATACTCGCTGGACGTCGCGGTGGACGACGTCAAGATGAGCGATGAGAAGATCGGCCTGGCCGAGGAGATGGCAGTTGGGTTGGAGACCTGGCTGCGAGACGCTGGCGAGGAGTACCGGACCAGCGATGTGAGAGACTTCTGCAGGGTAGCTTTGGAGCTGGGCGCAGTGGACATGATCGAGACCTACGCCCCTGTGCGCTTCGCGGCAATGGCGCAGAAGTATGGCCTCCGCCCAGGCTTCGCCATGGACCTGAGCGAGAACAAGCCAGGGTCGTACGATTGTTGGGACTTGGAGAAGGATGATGACGTGAAGGAGCTGGAGGACCGAGTGTACCAGGAGGAGCCGTACGTACTAATGGTGGGCCCGCCGTACTTGACTACGGCGGTGGGCTTCTACTGGCGGCAACATCGTGCCGGTAGGTATTTCCTACACGAACATCCGGCAGGAGCGGACTCATGGAAGGAGGATTGCATCGTAAGGCTCAGGAGCGAGCCGGGGGTCTACACGGTGGAGGGCCCCATGTGCTGCTACGACATGAAGCCGGAGAGTTTCGAGAAGGTCAGCGGCGAGCGTCACGTGTTGATGCAGACCAGGTGGATGACCAACTCGGAGGAGCTGGCCAAGGCGTTGGATCGATGGTGTGCCAACCGGACTGGTGGGCCGTACAACGTCCACATGCAGGTGGTTGGCGGCGCGGCGAAGCAGACAGCAGCGTATCCCGCGCGACTCGTTCGCACTATCTTGAGGGCCCTGAAGGAGCAGATGCGGCGAGATCGAGACGCTAGCGCTGTAGAGTTGGCAGCTGCGGGACCTACACCTACGGAGCCGCCCTATCCAGTCGACGACCTGGGCCCGAAGGAGATCGAGAATATGGTGGAGTTTTACGAGGAGACCCGGGACGACATCGCAGGCGAGATACTTCCCCCGGAGTTGGTAAAGGAGGCTAGGAAGAAGGAGATGGATTGGGTTCGCAACGTCAAGTTGTACGACAAGGTACCGAGGAGCGAGATGGAATCCAGAGGATTCAAGACAGTGAGTACACGGTGGGTTGACGTGAACAAGGGCGATAAGGACAATTACAACGTGCGCTCGAGGATCTGCGGTCGCGAGCTGAAGGCAAAACCAAAGACCAGCTGCTGGCGCACGAGCTTGTTAGCGCGATGCCACCGTGGGAGGCTATCAAGGCCTTGTTCTCTCTCTTGGTCACCGACGGCTCCGTGGATGGCACCGCAGACCCAGAGATCGCCATCTTCGACATCAGCCGCGCGCATTTCATGGCGCCGGCGAAGCGTGAGCTATACATCGACATTCCCGCGGAAGATCGAGAACCAGGTGACGAGCACATGGTCGGAAGGCTCAATCGCAGCATGTATGGGTTCCGCGATGCCAGTAGCAATTGGATGGGTGATTGGCAGCAGTTGCTGGAGGCGGACGGGTTCGAGATCGGAGTGGCGAACCCGGCGTTGTTCCTTCATCGAGGTTTGGTTTTACGTGGTGGAGTGCTGAGTGCATGGTGATGATTTCGTGGTATTGGGTCCTCGTTTGGGGCTTGATCAGATCGGCGCCACTTTGGCGTCGAAGTATTCCGCGCGGGAGAGCCACAGGCTAGGCTTCGCGGACCACTGCGTGAAGGAGGCGACGGTGCTGAACAGAGTCATCAGGGTTGGCTATAACCAGGACGGCCGCAAGTACGTTGAGATCGAGCCGGACGCTGGGCACTCGGAGCTCATCGTGCAGGCGCTGGGACTCGGCAAGGGCAATGGCGTGAAGACGCCAAGCGTCAAGCCGACCGGTGCGGACATTGAGCGGCATCGGAGGTCACCGCCACTTTCTTCGACGGCAGCTTCGACATTCAGATCGGCTGTGATGCGCGCGAGTTTTCTCGCGCAGGACCGGCATGACATCGGCGAGGCTGTGAAGACGTTGGCACAGAGGATGGCCAAGCCAACGGAGGAGGCCATGCAGGAGTTGAAGCGATTGGGGCGATACTTGGTGCATCGGCCGTACGTGAGCCTCATCTACGACCAGCAGCGCATGCCAGACCACATCCTCGCGTCCGTCGACAGCGACCACGCGGCGGACAGGCTGACCCGGAAGAGCGTCAGCGGCATGGTCATCAGGATGGGGAGGCACGTGATCAAGGGCAGCTCCAGCATTCAGTCGGCACTCGGACTGAATGTTGGCGAAGCGGAATTCTATGCATTGGTACATGGAGGAGCCCATGGACTGGGTATGCAGAGTTTCATGCGTGACCTCATGGTGGAGTTGGACGTGGTCGTGGAGTCCGACTCCACGTCGGCCAAGTCTTTCGCGTCCCGGAAGGGCTTGGGCAAGCAGCGGCACGTGCAGACGCGGTACTTGTGGATCCAGGACGGCGTCCGCAAGAACCACCTGGAGATTCAGAAGGTGCCGGGGAAGCATAACGTTTCCGACATTCTCACCAAGAGCGCTCCGGCGGCTGAGCTGGACAGGCACATGGGCGTGATGAACCTTTTCGTCACGACCAGAGGTAAGAAACACAAGAGGCTCTGAGGAGGAGCTCGCTGGCAGCGGGTAGCCCCGCGCCGGCATAACGAGGAGGAGGATACGAGCTAGGAGGCAGCGGCCAGCCCCGCGCTTCTATGGTTCAGGCGGCGCTGGCGCGACCAGCGCAACGGTCTTTGCTGCGGTGAGCTCCGCGCAAGGGCTGCGGACGAGAATCATTTTTTTCTTAGGACAAAGGTCCGAGGCCACACTCCGCTACCTAGAGCTTTTGAGGACTTGGAGGTTTAAGATGCCTCCTGCGTCCTAGGAGGAGTGATCAAATTTGGGTCACTCTGCAGTCCCTTGGAGCCAGGGGGGCCACATTTTGTTAAGTAGACTCCTGGGGGCAATGATGCATCCACGAACAACAATCCCACTAAGTGGGATAGCGGCTATGCACTGTACGTAGACATGGTGGCTCATGCAGTGGTGAGCCCAAGCTATGGCTCAGCAAAACATCTCATCAATATATGTATATATGCATATATGTATTCGCGCATCTATATGCAGAGAAATCTATACATATATGTCGGCGGTGCCCGGTGCGGAGCGAACCCCCTCCCCGGTAATCTCTCCTGGGGGGTTTCGAGCTGGCGCCATTCCCGGTGCGAGCCTGCACGAACCCCCCCGGTAAACACGACCTCCTCTGGTAGGCTGCACGAAACCCCCCGGTAAGGACGCAACCCCTCCGTAAGCGGCGCGCTCCCAGCACGCGCGAAACCCAGCCCCGACGCGCGAATCTTACCAGGACGGGCCGGAACACGGCGGCGGCATTGCATCCCAGGGCCGTGCCGGAACACGGCGGCATTGTTTTTCTCTACGCGGCCGTGCCGTCGACCCCCCACAGCGGCTCTCGGGAGTTGCGCCGCAGCCTCTCGTATTGTGGCCACGAGCCACAATACGAGAGGCGGCGGCGGAACAAAGGCGAGCAGACGCGAATAGAGAACACAAGGCGAGCACACGCCACACTTCGACAGGGAGCCACCCTTCCCAACCGCCCCCCTGCATGGAGCCTCGCGCCATTCTCATTCCCCTTTCCCTCGCGCATAGCAGGCCTGGGGAGGTCAACGTAGACAAGTGTTGTAAAATGATTTCGCGTAGTGAGTGGTGCCCCTGTGGGCCACCTCCTTGGCAAAGTTTGAAGGCAACCTTTTTTGTTGTTCTCTCTCTCTCTCTCTCGACTCTGGCTGGGACAATGGCCCCCCCCCTCCCCCCTTGAATCCGCTTGGGCACGCGCTGTCGGAAGGGTGGAAGGGGGGGGGGTCGAGGAAGAGGAGGATGAGGAGGAGAAGGAGGACGTAGGGGGCAGGATTGGGCAAGCTCCGTCGGGAGATTAAGCAGCCACCCTGGAAGAAACAAGACGAAGAAACAACTCATCCAGAGCATGTGCATGTGTATATATATATATATATATATATATATGTGTGTGTGTGTGTCCTTGGCGATGTGTTTCTCCTAGCGGTGACGTGCAGAGACGAGTTCCCGAGGGATTTTGGACGGAGTTCTGCAGGATTCCTGAGGGATCATTCGGAGATTCATGAGGGATTTCTAAAGGATGTCTCGAGGATTTCTCTGTGATTTCCAAGGGTTTTCTGCAGACTTGGGGTGGTAGTCTTGAGGGATTCTGGAGTGATGCGTTATTGATTCTCGAGGGGGTCTTGAAAGAAGGGTTCTTGATGGAACCCTTTGGGTTCCTGAGGAGTCTCAGGGGCCTCAGGGTATCCTAACGGACGATGAGGCCGATGACAATTATTTCGGGCAGGTTGCACTGTCTGATTCTTGTGTGTTCCAAGGGATTCCAAAGGGCCTCTTATACCCACCCGAGGAAATCGCGCAGACCTCGGAGCTTCGCGCGCGCGCGCAGACCTTGCCCCTTGGCGCTGGAGGACATCGTCCAGCAGCTGCAGGCGGGCGCGGCGGGGGTTTGGACGTCGTCGCTGTTCGCCCAAGGGCGATCGCGGTGCTCGTGGCTGACCACGAACGACAGGAGGCGCAAGTGGCAGCAACTCGAGCGCAGTGCGAAACGTGGGCGGCGCCTTGCAGCGGCCGCGTTGCGCGGTGGGCGCAGGGATCCGGCGCTTCCACCGCAGCGGCGGCTCTGTGCGTCTCTCCTTCCTAAGCGCCCCGGGGGTCTCACCTTTCCGAGTCCAGCGTGAGCCTTCGAACGGTATCACCGCAGACCGCGCGCGTTCCCGTCGTCTCATCGGGCTGCGTGAGCAGCGGTCGGGGGGGCCCTCCGAAAGCGAGCCCGACGGGCCCGACGCGGAAGGCGCGAGCCGCGCAATGCCGCCGGCAGTCCGTGCTGCCGCTGCGTGGGCGGCGGCGTTGGCTCGCGTCGGCGGGGGCCGCTGCGGCCGCCGCCGCGCGCTGACAATTGGCTTCGCGCTGTCGCGGGAGAAAATTGATGGCGGCCAGGGCGCCATCGAAAGGGGGTCGCACAGAAACACGCCGCAGGTGCGGATGTCGCAGCCAGCGAAGAAGGGCGGGAGGGGCGGGCGGGTCGTGTTGGCGAGAGCATAGAAGATCGAAATGACGCCGTCAGCTTCCAGAGCGATTTTGGCTCGAGCCGCGGGCGCTCTTTCCCGCCCGCCCTGAGTTCCTGCAAGAATGCTGTTGTCTTCGACTTCCACTGCCCATGCGACCCCGCCAGCCGGCTAGTCTGCCGCGGCGTGGGCGGCGGCGTCGGCTTGCGACGGCGGGGGCCGCTGCAGCTCCCGCCGCGCATCGACGATGGGCCTCGCGCTGTCGCAAAAGGAAATGGAGGGTTGGCCTCACACCTTCGAAAGGGGGCAATCAACTCGCGTCCCTATTCTCGGGGCCCTCCTGGGCCGCCTCGGGTGCCTCTTGCTCTGTTCTGGGACCCTCCTAGGCCGTCTTACACCCCTCATGGGGGGGGCTTTTTGGGGCGATCTTGGGGCCCTCTTCGGACACTGTTCGGGCCGCATTGGAGCGTCGGAAATTCGGGGAGGCGAGAACGCTACAACGAATGAAAAACCAAACGCCAGAGGACAAATTGCTCAGCTTTGCCTCTTGGGATTCTCTTGGGGGGTCTCTCGGCGCGGGCCGTCGTGGTGATCTCGTGGGCCGTCTTGAGGCTATCTTGGGCGTCTCTGGGCGGTATTTGGGCGGTGTTCGGCCATCTTGGGGCGCTCTTGGGCAGTCTGACAGACCACCCAGAGCTGTCCTGGGAGTTGCGCTTGCGCGGTTAGTTTCGGCCAGCTTGGAGTCAAATGTTCCCCAGGAGTTCCCAATACGTAGCAGGAAATTACCAATGCTTCCTAGGAACACCCGGGAGATTGTGGGCTGGGGCTTCAAAAACCCTTGAAGCGAGTCCCTTGAACATTGATAACCAATGGGCTTCGGGCGAATTCGATTTCGTATTGACTGCACGGCGGCGGATAGCCATGGTTGGATGCATATTTGTATGTATAGTTAAACAGATATACGTGTACGCATATGAATATATGTGTGTATCACACGCACGATATATGATATATGCATAGACGAAGCTATAAATAGAGAGAGAGAGAGAGAGCGAGAGAGAAAGAGAGAGACATATGCGCCTCCTTCTCTCTACATATGTCTCTCGTTCTCGTTGCCTTTATCACAGCCTCGAAACAGACCCCTCTCTCGTTCATTGTTTGTTCCCAGGCATGTGCGTGTGTGTATTTCTCTGCACATGTATATACACATACATGTATGTATGTGTATATATGTGCGCTTACGTATAGCGTGTGTATACGTGGAAATCGGTATATGCATATGCATACGTGCGAATTCTCCCTCCATGATGTTTTCCCCCGGTGCATTTGCCGTTCGAGGAGAAGCGGGAGAAGCAAAAGGCGATCAACGCAAAGTGGAGAGCTTACAGGACGGCGAAGAGACAGGAACAGGTGCCACATTTACGTAGCTAGATTTACCGACGACGAGGGATACGTATGCGTACGGTGGCAAACTTTGCCCGCCGTTTCGCAGATACCGCCTGTTTGCAGTTTTCCTGCACGTCGTTTCGACGCGTTCTCTTCACGACTCATGTACCACTGCTGAACGGTGGAAGCAAGATGCGACAAACCGCGCCCGCAGCGACCGACAGACTAAAAGGGGGGCCCCAGCTTGAAGCTACCCACCTCCCCCCTCCCTTGCTAAAGGGGAGGGGCTTCGGAAGCCCCCCTCCTCCCTCCCTTTTCGTTGCTGGAGAGGAGGTGGGGGGGCTTCGAAGCCCCCCCCGTCCCTTCTTTTTCGGAGCCGGAGGTCAGCCCGGGCTGCCCTGCCCTTTGAAACGAGGGCGGGGGCTTCGGAAGCTACCCCCTCCGTGGCCGGAAAGGAGGAGGGGGCTTTGAAGCTATCCCCCCTTTTTCGGAGCCGGAGGTCAGCCCAGGCGCCCTTTTGAAGGGGGGGGGCTTCGGAAGCTACTCCCCCCCTCCCCCCTTTTGTTTCCAAAGGCGGGGGGGGCTTGAAGCTCTCCTCATTACCCGCTTTGGGGGGGAGGGGGGTCGGAGGGAGGGGGGGGGGATTAGCTTGCAATCGGTTGGATTGCAATCGATTCGATGGCAATCGATTGGAATGCAGGGGAGGACAGGAGGGAGGGGAGGGATGGAGGGGAGAGAGGGGAGGGAGGGGATGGAGGCAAGCTAGGTGCGCTCGCGTCATATCTGACATCCTACCCCTCCCTCCCATCCCTTACCCGCAGATCCCCTCTCTACTCGCACAGTCGGAGTTCGAGCAGGGCAATGATCCCGAAAGGGTACGCGATGCATTGTAGAGCACGGCATGGCATGGCGTAGAAGAGCACCGCGAAGCGTAGTATCAACCTAGCACTGCATTGCATGCCGTGGCATGGCACGGGAAATGACGCCAGCGCTGCAGCGGGAGCACGAGTCGAAACGAGCGGAAGCGCGGAAGCGCGGAAATGAGGCCAGCGTTGCAGCGGGAGCACGATGCGGAACGAGCGGAAGCACGCCAGAATCGGCTCGGGAGGCTTCCCAGGCGCCAGAAGCAGAAATTCAGCATTTTCAAAAAAAATGTGTATTGGAATGGCCTTTTTTCGGCGCCGCCTCGGAACTAGATTTTCCGGCGCCGGCTGGAACGAGCTCCGGACCCAGCCCGGGCGCCGGCCCGGGCGCCGGCTCGGGCGTCCGGCCCGGGCGCCGGCTCGGGCGCCAGCCCGGGCGTCGGAATCGGCCCGGGAGCCCCGGGCGCCGGAAGCAGAAATTTAGCATTCTCAGAAGAAAAATGTGTATTAGAATGGCCTTTTTTCGGCGCCGCCTTGGAACTCGATTTTCCGGCGCCGGCCAGAACCGGCTCCGGACCCGGCCCGGGCGCCGGCCTGGGCGCCGAAACGGGCGTCCGGCCCGGGCGCCGGCTCGGGCGCTGGCCTGGGCGTCGGAATCGGCCCAGGAGGCTTCCCGGGCGCCGGAAGCAGAAATTTAGCATTATCAAAAGAAAAATGTGTATTAGAATGGTTTTTTTTCGGCGCCGCCTCGGGACTCCATTTTCCGGGGGGCGGCCGGAACCGGCTCCGGACCCGGCGGCCCGAGCGCCAGCCCGGGCGCCAGGTCGGGCGTGCAGCCCATGCGCCGGCGGAAATGATGCCAGCGCTGCAGCGGGAGCACGATTCGGAACGAGCGGGGCCCGAAAATGAGGCCGGCGCCTCAGCGAGAGCAGCATTTTGGAAACAAATGCAGGCGAAAACCTAACTCCGGGGAAACTTGTGTGTAAAATTATCCCAGCAAAGCAACCTAACAGTTATGTGTAGAAGCATATCTGGAAACATATCTGGAAATGACACGCTACTATCAATAGTGGATGAGTCTGCAAAGAAGGCTCTACTATCAACGGATCAGCACATTCTTGTTGTGCTCATTCCAAACGAGACGCTGCTATGCAGGGATGTAGGTCCAAACGAGACACCGCTATCAATGGATTTAATACTGCTTGCTACTACAGATGTGTCTGGGAACGAGACGCTGCTATCAATAGTGGATGAGTCAGCAAAGCAGGCACCGCTATCGACGAGACAGCACATAATTTTCTGTTCCTCCCAAACAAGACGTTGCTATCAATCGATGTAAGTCCAAACGAGACACTGTTATCAATAGTGGGAGGTGTGTAAAAACGAGACTCTGCTATCAATACTGGAAGTGTGTCGAAACGAGACACTGTTATCAATAGTGGGAGTTGAATGAAAACGAGACTCTGCTATCAATACTGAGCTGTATTAAAACGAGACACTGGTATCAATAGTGGAAATTGTTGAAAAAATCGAGACTCTGCTAGCAATCCTGGAAGTGTGTCAAAACGAGACACTGTTATCAATAGTGAGAGGTGTGTAAAACGAGAATGTGCTATCAATAGTGGAAGTGTGTCAAAACGAGACATTGCTATCAATAGTGGAAACTGTGTTACAACGAGACTCTGCTATCAATACTCGAACTGTGTTAAAACGAGACGCTGCTACCAATAGTGGGAGTTAACTCAAAACGAGACTCTGCTATGAGTACTGGAACTGTACTAAAACGAGACACTGCTATCACGAGTGGGATGTGTGTATAAACAAGATTATGTTATCAATCGTGGAAGTGTTTCAAAACGAGACACTGTTACACCGCACTCACATCTATACCCCTGGGTGGGTGTATGTGCGGCCGTTTTTGCGCTGTCATGTGCGCGCATGTGCGCGGCATGTTCCAGTCATGTGCCAGGCCTGTGCGGTCCTTCTTGGATGGACTTCCTACTGTGCACGTCGTGCCCAGGCATGTGCGGGGGCATGTGCGCTGTGTTTTGATGTATCCATCATACGCACATGCACGCACAGTCCGACGCACATGCGCGCACATGCCTGCACATGCGGGAGGTGTTCGAGAATCGCAGATCTGTCATCGGCACATGCACGCACATGCCTGTGCAACCTCTCTTCGGGAGGCCGCGCGGGCCCGCACATGCACGCACATGCGGTGAAGCGCGCGGGCGCACATGCGTGCACATCCCAATGCACATGCACGCTCATGCCCTAGGAGCTGTCTGGGACCCCTGTGCCTCCAATGCCTCCTGGCCTTCGCAGAGCTAACCTGGGGCGTGCCAGGGCTTCCTGAAAGAGTTTGTTGTGCGTTTAGACTCGCCCGCTGCTGGCGGGGGCGGTTATTCGCCCGGTTCGTGAGCTGGCGGTGGCGCGCCCGCCTAATAAAATACTCTCCCGCGCGCCTTCTCAGCTCGGCCGGAGAAGCAGGGATGGGGGGGGGGAGGTGGAGGGGGGGGGAGGAGGGGGGGGCGGAGGAGGCGGGCGCCCCCGGCCACTGGCCAGCCTGCCTGTTCGGCTCGGCCAGAGGAGAAGGAGGAGGAGGAGGAGGAGGAGGAGGAGGAGGAGGAGAAGGAGGAGGAGGAGGAGGAGGAGGAAGAGGAGGAGGAGGAGGAGGAGGAGGAGGTGAGAGTTGCGAGGCTGTCGCAGGCGAGAGTGGCTTGACGGCCCGAACTCAGGGAATCTCGGAATCGCTGGCCTGGCTCGGCCACCGGCGAACTCGGCCTGTGCGAATACTGTGCGTACCTGTGCAGTGCATGTGCGGGACGTGCAAGAAGGCCAGGGCCGGCGTTCGTCTCCGGACGCCGGCGCGTTCGTGTCCGGCCAGTTCCGCGTGAGACGTCGTCGGCAATTTGGAGGCCGACGTGCTTTGACATGAAGTGATCTGGCCACCTTCGCCTGAGACATCCTCGCAACTCTGGTCTCGGAGATGCCCTGCCCCATGGTGGCCCGGCCACTTTCGCTTCAGACATCCTCGGGACTCTGGGTTTCGAGACGCCCTGAGCTGAGATGGTTAGACCACTTTCGCCTGAGACATCCTCGCAACTCTGACCTCAGAGATCTCCTGCCCCATGCTGGTCAGGCCACGGTCGCCTGAGACATCCTCGCAAGTCTCGATTCCGATATGCCCCGAGCTGAGGTGGTCAGCCACTGTCGCCTGAGACATCTTCGCAACCCTGATCTCAATGATGCCCTGCTCGATAGTGTCTCGGCCCCTTTCGCCTGAGACATCCTCGGAACTCTGGGTTCCGAGACGCCATGAGTTGAGTTGGTTAGACCACTCTCGCGTTAGACATCCTCGCCCGAGATGCCCTGAGTTGAGCTGTTCAGGCCACTTTTGCTTGAGACATCCTCGCAACTCTGACCTCAATGATGCCCTGCTCCATAGTGTCTCGGCCTTTTTCGCCTGAGACCCTCGCAACTCTGGGTTCTGAGATGCCCTGAGCAGGTGGTCAGGCCAGTCCTGCCTGAGACATCCTCGCAACTCTGGGCTCCGAGATGCCCTGGGCTGAGGTGGTCAGACCACTCTCCCCAGAGACATCCTCGCAACTCTGACCTCAGAGATCTCTTGCCCCATGGTGGTCAGGCCACTTTCGCTTGAGACATCCTCACAACTCAGACCTCGGAGGTGTCCTGCCCCATGGTCGTCTGGTCACCTTGACCAGCGACATCCTCGCCACTCTGGTTTCCAAGATGCCCTGCCCCATGGTGATCCGGCCACGCTTGCCTGAGACATCCTCGGAACTCTGGGTTGCGAAATGCCCCGAGCTCAGGTGGTCAGGCCACTATCGCCTGCGACATCTCTGCGGCATGTGCGGGCATGTGCGTCTATGCTTTCAGAGTTTTGCTTGACCGTGCATTCGACTGTGCGTCGGACGGTGTGGCATGTGCGCGCATGTGCGGCAATGCTGTTGAGGCGTTTGTATATTTGCATGGGCATGTGCATGCGACTGTGCGGCATGTGCCTGCATGTGCGGCCCCTTCTGGACCACAATTTCAAAGTGAGCACTATAGAAGTGAGCGCTATAGAAGTGAGTCCGGTGTATCAAGATTGGGAGTTGTATGAAAACGGGACTCTGCTATCAACCCTGTTGTCAT